CACAGCCCAGGACATGGGGGGTTTCTGGGCTTCCAGTGTCAGACTTTCTCCTCTCCCAGCCCCACCAGTGTCCCCCTCCCAGTCCTCCCAGCCCCACCAGTGCCCCCCCAGCCCTCACCTCAGCCCCCTTCTGCAGCAGCAGCTCCACACAGTCCGGATCAGCCACCATGCAGGCGCAGTGAAGGGGCTTGAGGGTCCCGTGCATCCCGTTCACGTCAGCACCCTGTGGGGACAGCAGAGCCCAGGCAGGGTGACACAGGGGCAGGGGGCACAGAGGGTCAACCAGCCACCCCAGAGAGTCAACCACCCCCAGAAGGGTCAACCAGCCACCCCAGAGAGTCAACCACCCCCAGAAGGGTCAACCAGCCACCCCAGGAGACTCAACCAGCCACCCCCAGACTCACACAAACCTCATGGTTGGAAGGGACCTCTAAGATCACCAAGTCCAAACATCAACACAAACACCCCCCTTCCCCTCCCCCAACTTTGGTTCCTAAAGCTCTTCCTGAAGTACCAAAGCTCCAGGCCTTGGAAGCCCCTCCAGGGCTGGGGACCCTGGGCAGCCTGGGCCAGGCCCTGACCCCCCTTGCCAGGCAGGAATTGTTCCCCAGATCCAACCTCAACCTCCCCTGGGCAACTCGAGGCCGGTTCCTCTGGTCCCATCCCTTGTTCCTGGGGAGCAGAGCCCGACCCCCCTGGCTCCAACCTCCTCTCAGCAGCTGCAGAGCCAGAAGGTCTCCCCTCAGCTCCTTTGCTCCAGGCTGGACACCCCCAGCTCCCTCAGCTGCTCCTCACAGCTTCTCCAGACCCTTCTCCTGGTCCTCCAGACCCTTCTCCTTGTGCTCCAGCCCCTGAACATCCTTCTTGTCCTGAGGGTCCCAGACCTGACCCCAAGACTCCAGGTGCCCCCTCCCCAGTGCCCAGCACAGGGGATGATCCCTGCCCTGCTGGCCACACCAGTGCTGACACCCAGGATGCGGGTGGCCTCCTTGGCCAACTGTGCACCCACTGGCTCATGTTCAGCCCATTAACCAACCCCCCCCAGGGCCTTTTCCAGCCCCTCTGCCCCAAACCTGGAGCACTGGGGGGTTGGTGTGACCTGAGTGCAGGACCCGGCACTTGGCTTTGGTGAACATCATGCAACTGGATTTGGCCCCTGGATCCAGCCCGGCCAGGTCCCTCAGCCCCTGGATCCAACCTCTCCAGGTCCCTCAGCCCCTGGATCCAACCTCTCCAGGTCCCTCAGCCCCTGGATCGAGTCCCTCCAGGTCCCTCAGCCCCTGGATCCAGCCCCTCCAGGTCCCTCAGCCCCTGGATCCAGCCCCTCCAGGTCCCTCAGCCCCTGGATCCAACCTCTCCAGGTCCCTCAGCCCCTGGATCCAGCCTCTCCAGGTCCCTCAGCCCCTGGATCCAGCCTCTCCAGGTCCCTCAGCCCCTGGATCCAGCCTCTCCAGGTCCCTCAGCCCCTGGATCCAGCCTTTTCTGGTTCTTCTACCTGGCTCCTTCCACCCTCAGGCAGATCAACGCTCCCTCCCAACTTGGTGTCACCTGCAGACTGAGGGGACACCCCAACCCCTCATCCAGACCAGGGATAAGATGCTGAACACACGTGGCCCCAGCCCTGGGGTCCCCCCTGGTGCCCACCCCCAGCTGGAGGTGACTCTGCTGACCACAACTCTCTGGGCTCCCCCACCAGCCTGGGAAGGGTCTTCTTGGCCACCAGCCCCACCAGGGTCACAGGGTGGCCCTGAGCTCCCCTCTCCCCAGCCTGGATTTTAATTAATTCATCATCAATAAATGAGACCAGCAGCCCTTGACGACCTCTGCCCCTCCTCCCAGCCCTGATTTTAATTAATTAATCCTCAATCAAGGAGACCAGAAGTGCTCAATATCTCCTGTTCCTTCTCCTAGTCCTGATTTTAATTAGTTAATAATCAATAAACGATACTAAAAGTGCTCAATATCTCCTGTCCCTTCTCCCAGTCCTGATTTTAATCAATTAATAATCAATAAATGATACCAGAAATGTTCAATAACTCCTGTCTCTCCTTCCAGCCTGACTTTAATTAATGATTAAACCATAAACAACACCAGAGTGTTCAACAGCCTCTGTCCCTCCTCCCAGCCCTGGTTTGCATTAATAAATAATCAATAAAGGAGACCAGAAGGGTTTAATATCTCCTGTCCCTCCACCCACCCCCGATTTTAATTAACTAATTCAGGGGTGACC